AGGTCAGCAGTGTGACACGGGTTCTCACTGAGCTAACGTCAACGTATCAGAGAGCTTCCTTTTTGGAGGCTGTAATGGACACTCTGTTTCCTTGCCTTCTCTGGCTTCTGGAGGTCCTGTTCATTCCTCAGCTCTTGACTCCATCCTCAATCTTGAAGGCCAGCAATAGTGCATCTCCCTCTGAGCCTTTTCAGTAGTCATGTCTCCCTCTGACCAGTTGGAAAAGGTTTTCTATTTTTCAGGACCTGATGATTAGATTAAGCCCACCTGGATAATGAAAGCTAATCTCCCACCTCAAAATCATTGACCCTATTCATATCTGTAATGTCCCTTTTGCCATGTAAAGTAACATGTGTATAGGCTCGGAGTATTGCAATGTGGACAGAATTGAGGGCCATAACTGCTCACCATGAATGTGAAACAGTGCCATTCTTCCCGCTAACTTTGTTTCCAAAATATATTTTTCATTAGAATGCATGTATGTTAATACATAATGGGTCTGTCATTATCCTAAGTGAGTGAATTTTTTAAAAAATTATCAATTTTGCTTTTTAATATGGTGTCTTGGTCCATTCAGTGTTGCTATAACAGAATACCTGAGGTTGGGAAATTTATAAAGAAAAGAGGTTTCTTTGGCTTATGATTCTGGAGCTGGGAAGTCCATGAAGCATGGTGCCCGCATCTGCCTGGCCTCTGTGAGGGCTTTCTCCTTCATCATAACATAGTGGAGAAGCGGAAGGAAAACAGGCATGGGCAAAAAAGGATCCAAAAAAAGAAGTAGCCTTGCGTTGTAACAACTCAGACATCCTCCATAGAAAGATGAAATTATCCCATCATACAGAGAAAATGCTGGAAAAATGCGGTGGTAAGTATCATTAGGTGAGTTGACCAGAATCTTTCAGATGAGTGGGGCTAACTCCCAGATATACTGGCAAAAGCTCTAGCAAAGAAAGAGCTGCTTTAAGGTGTCCTTCAAGCATCTCTTCTGTCCCCAATGTCACACACTGACTGGCAAACCCTGGGGATGTGTTTCTAGTTCCTATCCTATGGCTGGGTTTCATGCATGTCAGACTGACCCTGTCCTGGAACCCTACTGGTGCGACTACTGTGACATGGAATATGGTTCTACATGGCTCCAAAAAACTACTCCAGACTCCCTCCATGGCGATCTTATGTCAGATTTTGCTAGCACTTATCTACTCTTCTTTTTTTTAGAGACAGAGGTCTCACTATGTTGCCCAGGCTGGACTCAAACTCCTAAGCTCAAGTGATCCTCCCACCTCAGACTCCCAAGTAGCTGGGACTTACAGGCATGACTCACCACACTTGGCTTCATCTACTCTTCTATTTTTTTTTTTAATCTTAAGCAAGGCTTCCAAATTTGTGAATAATAATATAGTCTATCATTGCAATGTCAAAGAAAACCAAACAAAGCTCCTACCTCAAAAGAGGAGAGAATTAGAAGAAAGAAGACGACTAACATTTGTTGAGTGCCTGCTATACATACTCCTGTTATTTTAACTGGTGTCTCTTTAATTCTCTCTAAAAACCTCTGAGAGATCTCATTCTATCCTTTCACAGGTGGGGAAACTGAGGTTCAGCAAGGCTAAGAAATTGTTCTGGGTCATGCAACAAATAAGTACAAGAAACAAATTCCAAACCTGGGTCCATCTGGTTCTAACATTCACACAGGTTCCGTTCCCCCCACTGTCTGCTAAGCAGTGTTGGGTCCCTGGAGTGTGTTAAAGAGAAAACACCATGCTCTGAACACCAAAACCTGAAGCAGAGGCCATCCCTTTCTGAACTGAGGCCAAGCCCAGGAAGGCGCTTACTCATCCCTCACAAACCAGCATGTGAAAAGCAGCTGATGACCTCAAAAGAGAACCACAAAGGGAATGAATTTATCAAAGATCCCTTGGCCACAGCCCACGCACCGCCATGGGACCTTCGAAGTGGAGCAGAGAGGGCCAGCCACTGCATCGGGCCAGATGGACTTGACTTCAGACCTGGTTCTGCTACTCATTAACCAGGCACAATTGGGAAACAATTTTGTCTTTGTAAACCTCCACTTTCTTTCCCATTTTCCCATGCATGAGAAAACAATAATGCTTTCCTCTTCCCAAGTTTCTCCAAGAATTAAAATAACAGAGACAAGACACTCATGGGTAGTGAGGGAGCCAAGTGAAGAAGACCCTCCTGATAGCTTGCAGTAAACGCTGTGCAAAGGCATGGAAGCAGAGAGAGCTGCATGGCTTTGAGCATAGCTGGGCATACAGGGTAGGAGAAATGTGGCTGGAAAGGTCATGTGTGTCAAGCAAGCTTTGGTTAAGCTTTGGTTTTGTATGTGAGGGAATCACAAAATTACAATGGCTGAAACAAGATAAAAGTGGTTTTCCCTCCATGAAACCAAGCAAGGAGTTAAGCAATACCAAGCTAGTGGCTCCACAATTGAGGACCCAGCTCCTTCCATTTTGTGACCTCACCATCCTCGTGGTCTTCATGGCCCAGGATGGCTACCTGAGCTCTGGCTATCATCTCCATATTCTCGAAGGGAAGCAGAATGACAAGGACATTCCTCTTCACCTTCCATCCAATTACCGAGAACTTAGTTACAGGGCCCATCTGATTACCCGGAGCTTCACCTAGAACACTCTGAGGAGATTTCCGAGTGCAGTGGCTTATGGGCAGTTGTCCATGTAGGATTCAGAGAGAGGAGTAAGCATTCCTCATGTAGCTTGCTGGTGCCAGGATAAGTAATATGGACTTTGTTCTTAAGTAATTGTGATTGTGCATTTTGACCTACCTGGTAGTTAGCTGGGGTACTGGTGCAGAGGCTTGTCTTTGCTTCAATCCCTCAGGCTGGAGCTCCTCCCCAGGTGTCATCTGTTGAAAGCATTTTTTTTTTTTTTGAGACAGAGATTCGCTCTTGTCACCCAGGCTGGAGTGCAATAGCAATGATCTCAGCTCACTGCAATCTCTACCTCCTGGGTTCAAGCGATTCTCCAGCCTCAGCCTCCCAAGTAGCTGGGATCACAGGCATCCACCACCACGCCTGGCTAATTTTTGTATTTTTAGTAGAGAAGGGGTTTTAGCATGATAACCAGTCTGTTCTCAATCTCCTGATCTCATGATCCACCCACCTCAGCCTCCCAAAGTGCTGGGATACAGGCATGAGCCACAGCACCTGGCTAAAGTGTCCAGTTTTTAACAACAACAATAAAAAATTAGAAGGCATACCTCCCAAAAAGAGAAAAGTACTACCCATTCACAGGAATTTAGACATTTCTCCAAAGAAGATACACAGATGGCCAACAGGCACATGAAAAGGAGAATGCTCAACAGCATTAGTTATTAGGAAAATGTAAACCAAAACCAGAATGAGGTACCCCTGCATACCTACTAGGATAACAATAAAACTGAAAATAACAAGCATTGGTGAGGATGTGGAGTCACTGAAACCCTGATGCTGGTAGGAATATAAAATGTTTCAGCCATCATGGAAGCCATTTGGTGGTTCCTCAAATAGTTAAATATTGAAGGCCAGGCATGGTGGCTCACACCTGTAATCCCAGCACTCTGGGAGGCCAGGAGAGGCAGAAAACTTGAGGTCAGGAGTTTAAGACCAGCTTGGCCAACATGGTGAAATCTCTACTAAAAATAAAAAAAATTAGCCAGATGTGGTGGCACACACCTATAACTCCAGCTACTTGGGAGACTGAGGCAACAGAATTGCTCGAACCTGGGAGGTAGAGGTTGCAGTGAGTCAAGATTGTGGCCACTGCACTCCAGCCTGGGTGACAGAGCAAGACTCTGTCTCAAAAAAAAAAAAAAAAAAAAAAAAAAAAAAAAAAAATTGTATTATCATGGGATCCAAGAATTCAACCCCTATGTGCTTACCCTCCCAAAATAAAAACAGGTTCTCAAACAAATACATGTACATGCATGGTCACAGCAGCATTATTCACAAAGCCAAAAGGTGGAAACAGCCCAAATGTCCATAAACTGTGGTATGCACAAACACATATGCACACACAACAGAATACTACTCAGTCATAAAAAGGAATAAAGTCTGTTAAATGCTACCTAAGGATGAACCTTGAAAACATTATAAGTGAAAGAAGCCAGGCACAAAAGTCCACACACTGTGACTCCGTTTACATGAAACATCTACAATAAGTAAATACAGAGACAGCAGTAGACTGGTGATTGCCAGGGGGTAGGGGAAGAGGGTATTGGGAAGAAACCTGGGAAGAAACTTCTCAGTGGGTCTGGGGTTTTTCTTTTGGAGTGAAGAAAATGTTTTGGAATTAGTCAGAGGTGGTGGTTGCACAGCATTGTGAATTCACTAAATGCCACCGAAATGCCTGCTTTAAAATGGAAAATTTTTTTGTGAATTTCACCTTAAAAAAAAAAAAGTAAAACTACTTAACATCAAATTATTGACAATCTCAACTTACTCCACAGACCCCAAATCCTGGAACCACAACCCCCTAGGCCAATTCTCAGCTGAAGCATCAATTTCATCCCTGTTCGATTTTATCCAGAGCTCCTGGTGGCCCTGAAGCGCTCTCGGAAACAGATCAGGAAAATTCTCCTAGTGTTAGCTCACATCGGGCCACTAGTGCTCCTTTAGCGTGAGAACAACCGAAAGGAGGAGGGGATGTGGACCTAAAACTGCAAGAAAGTGTCCACGAAGCATATGTCCTACCGCCCCACGCTGCTGCCAGGCCCGCGGGAAGACGACAGGCCCGGCTTCCACTCCTAAAGTCGCTGCCCAGTTCCGACGTAGGGTTGATCCTGTCATCCGCGCGACGCGAAGGGCACCCTCCCTGCGCTCCCGGGACTCCAGGGGGGCGCCCCAGTGGACGAGGGAACGTGGCGTCGCCCACGGGGCGGGGCCTGGGCGGGCGCGGGGCGGGGCCTGGGCCGGCGCCTGGGCCGGCCGGGCGCTCTGCCAGCGGCGTAAACTCCGCCGGGGCGCGGCGGTGGAGCAGGTGAGCGGGCGGTGCGGGGGTGCCCAGGCCGGGGCCCTGTCGCCTGCGGCGCTGAGGGCCCGGGATGGGGCTGTCCCCGAGGGCCCGGCCCTGCCCTCCGCACGCCCCTGGCCGCGGTCCCTTCCCCGGCTATGGGGCTGAGTGCGCCGCGCTCCTGGCCTCTACGGTCAGCGCGGGGGCGGAGAGAAGAGAGTGCCCGGCGGGCGGCGGCTGGGCCGGCCCGGAACTGGGTCGTGGAAGGATAGCGGGAGCGGTTTTCCGGCCTCCGGCCTCACTGCGTCCCCGCTTCCCCGTGCCCGCCTGCTGCCGAGCCCAGCTGGGGGTGGGCGCGGTGCGAGCTGTTAAAGGGCCGGTGCATTTAAAGGAGACGTGCACGTGGGTCTCAAGGCGTGTAGCAGGCGGGGGCGTTTTGTTCTTCCTCTCTGTCTCGCCAGAGACCTCCGTTGTGCCGAGTCCATCCGGCCTCCAGCACCGGGCCCTAGGCATGCTTTCCCCGGGAAGGAGGCGCGCTGGGGGGTCTGCTCGCACGTGAGGGGCAGGGCCGCAGGCCCAAGCCTAGAGCCGGTTTCTGTTAGCAGTGGTGTTCGGCTGTTTAATCAGGCGTTTGCAGCTGTGAGGAGACAGTCAGAAGCAAGCTTTTGGAGCTGAAGGAACCTGAGACAGAAGCTAGTCCCCACCCGAATTTTACTGAAGAAGCAGCTGAGGCCACAGAGCTAAAGTGACTTTTCCCAAGGTCGCCCAGGTAGGATATAGCAGAGCCAGGCTTAGACCCCAGTGTCCTGGCTTCTAGATCTGCTGCCCATCTCTCTAAGCAGACCTCGCCCCTTGGCCAATTAGATGAAATGTGCTTGTTTATTGGCTTAAGTATTCCGTTTGAAAGGTATGAAGGGTGTTGAGTGAAGTAACTGCATCCGTATTGACTGATGGAGAACCTGAGAGCATCCCGTAGAGACGATTGCAGACTAACTTAAGTCAGAAGCGACAGTCTGGGTTGCCAAGGCTACCTACGGAGTAACTTGATTAGGACTGACCCCAGCTTCCAGGAAGGAGGCCCCTGATGTCTCTTTAGCCAATTCTGCAGACACCTGAGCCTCCAAGGCCTTCAGCCAAGACCTTTGGTGGTAATTAAAGGCTCAGGATAAGCCGTTTCAGGTGTGTGAACCTCTGGTTCTTCTCTGCTGAATCTGGTTGTGGGGAGGTGGTGACTGGCCCCAGCTCAGCTGCGTTCCCAGTCTCCCATCAGGCCAGCAGGACACCCGGATTGGGCCTTGGGTTCCAGGGCAGAGGCTGGAGTGAGGGCTTGAGGGGTTGGGGTGTTGCTTTGAACTGGCATGGATGTTGTATCAGGCTTTTGGAGAAAACTGTACCCTTTGGTGTTGAAGTGACCATGTGCCAAGTCTTGAGTGCAGCATGTTCACGTGTAGGAAGTGAGTGACTTGTTCCAGTCTATTTGAAAGAGCGGCGAGGAGGAGGAGGAGGAGGAGCAAGGGCCAGGGGCTACTGAGGTTCCTGGAGGTAGGGTGCATAGTGTCACACCTGTCTCCCCTCCCCGGCTGCTCACTGCTCCCCCACAGGGGGTTTGCCTCTTGCCCACTTTGGCCTTTCTCTGTTATCGATGTTAATAATGACATATCTCGCTTACTGAGTTGGTCATATACAATAAAAAGCCATCTTGTACAGTAGTTATCACAGTTACCTTAGGAATTTCAGTGACACTGAAATAGTTTATTGTTATCACGCTTTTACAGAAGAGGAAACAGGTTCGGGGAGTTAAGTAGCTGGTCCGGTATGTGGCTTCAGTGCGTTAAGCACTAGGATTTGAACATAGTTGGCTACATTGTCTTTATCTTTTGAGTTTTTGCACAGGAGGTTTCCTCCATTCAGCTCCTACCCATGTCTCTGCTGGAAAGTTTCAGGAGTCTCCATGAGCAACTTCCTGACAAACAGAAAATTTTTAAAGAAACCAAAGCAGTGTGTGTAGGTCACATGCAGTGTGTCTAATGAGAACATCCCTGGTGGGTTTTCAGCTGTTCCTTTGACATTTGGACATGGTTTACTTGGGGACTGATAAGACAGCAAATGTTTTTGCAAGTATTCCCAGCTGTTCTGTTCCCAGCTGCCACGGCTGCAGAAAGGCGGGGGTGAGGCTGAGAGGCCTGCAGAGGAACATGTTTCCCTGGGCTCCAAACCTGGAGAAGGGGTAACCATCACATTAATGTCTGGAGAAGAGAATGATTTCATGCCAGGCACAGTTGCTCACGCCTGTAATCCCAGCACTTTGGGAGGTTGAGGTGGGCGGATCACTGGAGGTCAGGAGTTCGAGACCAGCCTAGCCAACATGGAGAAACCTCATCTCTGCTAAAAATACAAAATATAGCCAGGCATGGTGATGCATGCCTGTAATTCCAGCTACTCTGTAGGCTGAGATAGGAGAATCACTTGAACCCAGGAGGTAGAGGTTGTAGTGAGCCAAGATCATGCCATTGCACTCCAGTCTGGGCAACAAGAATGAAACTCTGTCTCAAAAAAGCAAAAAAAAAAAAAAAGAATGATTTCACATCAGTCCTCAGGAAAGACCAGATGTCAGTGAGGGAGATCATTTCTTGGTAGCCTCTTCACTGACTGGGCTACTTGTTCATCTTTGTGAAAATTCTAGAACAGGGGAAGAAAAATTCAAAGGATACCCACCATTCTTCTATACCTTAACCAGAAACTTATTGATCTCTTTTTAAAATAAAAGTAATACATGTTTATTCTAGAAAATTCAGGATTTTTTTTTTTTTTTAAGACAGAGTTTCACTCTTATTGCCCAGGCTGGAGTGCAGTGGCATGATCTCAGCTCACTGCAGCCTCTGCCTCTCGGGTTCCAGAGATTCTCCTGCCTCAGCCTCCTGGGTAGCTGGGATTACAGGCATGTGCCACCACGCCCGGCTAATTTTTGTATTTTTAGTAGAGATGGGTTTTCACCATGTGGTCCAGGCCGGTCTTGAATTCTTGACCTCAGGTGATCCACCCCCCTCGGCCTTCCGTAGTGCTGGGATTACAGGCGTGAAGCACTGTGCCCAGCTGAGATAACCAGTCTTAACGTGCATTTCCGTCCAAGCTCTGTTCACATACACATATTTATCTATTAAAATAGTAGAGGGAGGAAACAGGTGAAGTTTTTGTATCCTGTTTTTTCTGTTATGCCTTCAGAATTTTCCTTTTATTGAGTACTTCTGGAAAAGCAGATTTGATGGGTGCATAGAGCATTTGAATTATTTATCCTACCAGTCCCACAGCAGGACACTTTCCCGCCCTCTCTTTTGGGCTAGAGAAACAGTGCCCTGTGTCCTCCCCAGGCCCCTGTGTGGGCACTCCCCCACATGGAGCCAGATCAACCTGGGCAAGTAGCAGAGGGAGAGCATAGTGAGCCCTGGGGGCAGGAGCTGGGAGGCGTGGCAGGAGAGAGACTGTTGAGAGTTTAGAGGTGACAGATGAGCTGCTGAGTGAGTGATGGGGAGCATTTCTGGACGCATACCTGCACATGGCGAAGGCACATGCCTTGTGAGGGTGAGTGTGCTCCCAGAAGGCCCACGTGGTATGTGGTGGGGCTGCCTGCATGACCAAACCCTGCGCCCTGGGTGCGTGACCCTCACAAGTACTGAATGGGCTGGGAAGAGCTCCTGAATGGGCAGTTGGAGACCTGAGCTGTAACTGTGGCTTTTGGCTATGGAACATTAACTGATTACTTTTCCCCCTAGGCTTCGGTTTCCTTAATTATAATACAGGGACCTGACTAGGGGGCACTGATGGCCTTTAAGGTCCTTTCGAACTCTGACATTGTCCTATGGATGTGCTCTTTTATTTGACATTATGTTCACGTGGCCATAGTGCTTGGGGCTGGGCCAGGGTGGATGGAAACCTGATCTCTGGGGCCTGGCCTTTGAAGCCAGTTCTTGTGTCTGGTGGTTCAGCAGATCCATAATTTTCCAGCAGGCTTCTGTGTCCTCTCTCACTGTGTCCCTCCTCCATTTCATCTCTTTATAACTACCACTTATTAAACGCCTACCGTGTGCCAGACACTTCACAGGTCGTCTTAGGTTTTACAATAATCTTGTAAGATATGCCTGTTCTGCTTTTTACAGCAGAGGAAATGAGCTGTGTCAGATTAGACTGAGGCCTCTCAGCCAGGGAGTATGTGGTTCAACTCACACAGGTGGGCGATCCGAACCCCATCAGTCTCCAGAGCCTCTGCTTTTGACCACTGACTTGCTGCTGTTTGTTTAAAAATAGATGAATTTCTGGGCCCTACTCCTGAGGGGCATGCTAGGAGCTCCCTCTCCCACTTCCCCACAAACCACTCTTTCCCCTGGCTGCTTCAGGAAATGAGAGCACTCTGCCTGGGCCCAGGCACTTCTGAGTGTGATAGGGCTGACACAGGTAAGTCTAGAGCTTGGCCCAAAGTTTAGGAGGCTCCATCACAGGGCACCTGGGCTTGTGGTCCGGGAGGGTGGTAGGTTAGTGCTTCACAGTTTCCCTGTTAGACTCAGGCCCCAGCTCTGGCTTAGGCTAGAGAGAACCATCCCCAAATGGTATGTGTTGCCATATGGGCCACGATGAATGGACGGATGGACGGTCAGCTGGGACCAAATACATAGTCGAGTACCTAGGGCCAGGGGGAGAAAGGTGAGCAGGGAAGCCGTGGGCATTTGTCCAGTTATCACCTGACCTGAGCAAACTCTTCCTTATTTTAAGGGAGGACTGTGGGACTTCTCAGACGTCAGGAGAGTGATATGAGGGAGCTGTGTGACCATAGAAAGTGATGTGTTAAAAACCAGCGCCACCCTCTTTGAAAGTGAGGGAGCATCGTTAATTTAGCCTGCTCGGAAGAAGAAACCAGGTGTCCTGGATCCAGACCTTTCTGCAGCCCCCAGTGTTTTCGGTAAGTGCAGTGACTCCCAGTTTGCTTTTGAACTATCTTTTTCCATTAGGATTTTCTCCATGGAGGCAGATTTCCGTGGGGGTTTGCTGTGGCATTTTGAAATCTGTTTGCTACCTAGTTCCATTGGCCTTAAATGTTAACCCATTACATTTTTCTGTAATGAAAAGAAGGTCGAGGAAATTGGGTCACCGGGTTTCCATAATAATTGCAGGAACTGCTGACCCAAGCACGGCTGGGGAGATTCTCTAGGTCAGACTCCCTTGGTTTGGCTAATTCAGCAGTTTGATCCCATTAGCTGATTGATGGGAATATGCAGTGGCTTCGTTGGATGTTTGATTTTGCATCCTAATCCAAAGCAGCTATCAGCCTCAGCACTTCCTTCTCGGAAGGCTTTCCAGAAAATGGTCTGTACACTGGACACTTCCTTCTGCCGTCTGCGTTTTCCTGCTGCTTCCCCAGTCGAAGGGGTGCAGGGGGTGGGAGGTGGGGAAAGCTGGTTGCTATGTGGCTGATGGGATTTGACATCACCCAGCCCCACCCCCACCTGCCTGTGAGTCAGCCTCCAGGGAGAGTTCTTTGCGTCACTGGCACCCTGATGTGGACAAACATCTAGCAGTGTTGTTTACCTGCTCACACTTGGGTGGTGAATTTTCCCTCCAGGGATTTCAGAGCACCAGCAGGCATCAGAGCGGACTTAGGTGGCTTGCAAAGCAGGCCCTTAGGAATTCAGAGGGAAGCAGAAGTTATCCCAGATGCTCTGTGTTCCTTCAGAAGCCAGCTAAATCAGAGGGGCTGAGGGACAAATGAAAGAAAGTTGGGCTTTGAGTCTCATCTGCTCCTCCTGGCCGGTGAGAGGGGATCTGGGAGGGGCAGACGTAGAGGAAAATCTGTCTGAATGCTCGTTATTTTCCTTTAAAGAATTAATAGCCTAAAAAAACCCTTACAGATACAGTCCATGTTTATTATAGAGACTTGGAAAAATGCAGAAAAATATAAAGAAAATAAAACCACTCTTGGTTCCACCATCCAAAGATAATCACTTTTAATGTTTTGTAGTATTTCCAGTCCTTTATATACATACATTTCATAAGGACACCCAGATGATTAGGTTTGTAAAGTTTTATGTTCTGTTAAATTTAAAACATCATGTTGTTTTCAGGTTACTAAATATTTGAAATAAGATTTTTGATGGTCCTGTAATAGTCTCCATCAGAGGCATATATCATAGTAGAGAGTCAGACGTTTTGGTCATTTTCTCTCTTTTTTTTTTTTTTACAGTTAACACATATGTTTGTGTAAATTTTTGTATTTTCTTTTTTTCTTTTAAGTACAATTTCCATTTTATTTTTCTCCAGAGAATAGTTGTCTTCAATCTTTTACTCAGCTCCTTACATGGGTTTTGGTGGGGGTGTGGGGCAGCACCCGCAGGTCTAAATCAGGGTAGGGGTGTTCGGTCCTTGCGGGCTTCACGAGATCGATTCCTGACTACTTTGCTGTGAATTGCACAACTCACACAGTAATGTAGCTTCACATAGAGCTTGGGGAAGTACATAGGCATCAAAGACGCTCGCTTCAGAAATATCCCTGACTGCTGCGGCCTCCACTATGTTTTGAATGACGAATTTCTTAATGGCCTTGTCCTTGGGCACGCGTCAGGCACAGTTCGTGCAGCGAATAGGCTGAACCTGGCCGTGGCCCTTTTTGGCACGACCGTTGTTCCTTCTTTTCTTTGTCATTTTAGAAGCTCGCAGCAGAGAAAGAAGCAATTTCTGTATTTTCTTGGGAAAAATTCAGAGAAGTAGCGTTTCAGGATTAAAAGGTATGCTGTGTTTAAAGTGTTGATTCTTACTCCTTTGAGTAAGGCCAGTCCAGTTTGTGCAGGTAGTGATGATACCCAGTTTTTCCACACTCTCCTCTGCGGTGGGCATTGTTTGGGCCTTTTTCAGCCTGAGAGCTCTCTTCTCCCCATGCCGCTCTGCTGGTCTGAGATTTTTCCACCCCTCTTCCTTCCTAGTTGCTGTCTGACCAGACTCTAGGTATTTAGGAGAAAGAGCTGTTCATTCTCTCACTCTTCCATTCGACAATCAAGTAGTGCCAAGCAGTGGGGGCTGAAGGTGGGTGGGTGAGGGACACTCGCCTTGCTGAGCAAGGGGCCCGGCCTGGTCGTGTGATTATAAAGCAGAGGCAGTGCCGGGAAAAGGCTGACGCTGGCTGAGAATCACCTGGGAAATGACCATCTGGAATGCGGATACCTGACACTGGGTGAGGATGGAGCTTGGAGATCTGCATTTTCAGTAAGCAGCCTAGCAGGGTGGTAAAGAGCACAGACACAGACTACCTAGGTCCAGGGGTAACCTTGAGCTAATTACTTTTTGAGCCTCTGTTTCCTCATCTGTACCATGGGGAAGAATAGTAGCGCCTTGCTCCAGAGTCACGGTGTGTAGTGCCAGGTAAGGGCTCAGCAGGTGGTGGCCCACCTCCACCAGCCCCCAGTGGCCTGCACCACCTTTGAGAAACAGTGATCCTAAGGGATTCAGCCTTTCCTAAGTTGGTACCTCCCACCTGTCACCCTCACCCAACCAGACTAGGAGGGTTGTGATTAGAGGATACCCTTGCTGTGACAGCTTGCTCTTCCCTGATTATTCCTTAAGGGCAACCCCCTCCTTCCCAGCTTTTGTGCAGTCTTGGTTCTCATTGTTGTGGGCACAGCTTCAGGGGAGGCCTTGGAGGAATTTTTGAAAGTGGAACGAGGGAAGGAGCCTGCTCAGGGAGCATTTGTTTTCTGGTAAGGAGACGGTATGTGTGAATGACGTTTTGTGAGTTAAACAGCATATTATGTAGTTTTCCCTAGTTTCTCCCTGAAGAGCTGTCAGGTCTTGATGAGACCAGGTCCTAGCACAGGGCAGGTGGTCAGCAAGTGTGGGTGATGACAACAGTGGTGACCAGATGCCTTTCTCCTGCCTAGCACAGTGTCACATGGAAAGGGTACAGCCCTTTAAGCCCACCCTCCCCAGCACGACTGTGACAGATGTCAGGAAACCTCTGCTCACAGAACTGCTTTCCAGGGAGTATCTTTTTTTGTTTCGTTTTGTTCTTTTGAGTCTCACTCTGTCACCCAGGCTGGAATGCAATGGCACCATCTCAGCTCACCGCAGCTTCTACCTCCTGGGTTCAAGTGATTCTTCTGCCTCAGCCTTCCAAGTAGCTGGGATTACAGGCATGAGCCACCACATCTGTCTAATTTTTGTATTTTTATTAGAGATGGCATTTCACCATGTCGGCTAAGCTGATCTTAAACTCCCGGCCTCAGGTGATCCACTCACCTCTGCCGCCCAAAGTGCTGGGATTACAGGCGTGATCCATCGTGCCCTATCCAAGGCAGTGTCTTCTTAGCAGTTGACAATTGAATGGAGAAGTGGATGTTGGAAGGACTTCGTTCTACTTGATCCTGGGTCCCTAGCTTCTCTGTCTTCACCCACCCATCAGCTCCCTTTCTCCTGTTTAAAGGAGAAAGGGAGCTCTCTGCTTACCCATTTTTGTTGTGCATTGCTATTTGAGAACCTAAGAAACACGACATCCTCTGAATGCTGCAGCTGTTGTGGGTCTGAAGGGTGAGCCAGCCCTCTGTCCTCAGGGGCTGCAGCCTGTGGCTTTTTAGGTACAAGGACTCTCAGAACTGCTTCTTCAGTCACAGCAGAGGTAAGTCACCAGAGCTTGAGAGGCATGGGAAGAACAGAGGGAGGAGACCATAGCTTCCCCGTTCATTCACACCCAAAACAAAACTGTCATGCTAGAAAAGATGGTATTAAAAGAGCCAAAGTGAGACCTCTATTTCTACAAAACATAAAAAATTAGCTGTACATATAGGATACATAGCCTCGTATCCCATCCAGCTCACTGCTCCAGATGGAGTATTATGATTTAGCTTGAGGAAATGCAGCAGCTCTTTGTTTTGATGCCCCTCTTTGAGTAAGAGTGAACTCCCCATTGCCAGAGTGGATAGTGAGGGAAACCCTGTGTCCAGGCAGGAGTCTGTTTAGGATTTATCTAGTGAGGCTGAGCCAGAGGAGGACCTTAAAGTTTCTTCTCTTCAATTTCCTTTATTTATTTTGTAGAGATAGGGTTTTGCCATGTTACCTAGGCTGGTCTTGAACTTCTGGGCTCAAGTGATCCATCCGCCTCAGCCTCACACGGCCCTTCTCCAGAATTTTTACCTGGTACTTTCTCTCATTTCTGTATGTTGAGGAAACTAAAGCCAAGAACTTGCCAAGATCTTGCTGCTCTTTGAGGATGTGAAGCTGTGCTCGATTTGTATGGATTTTGCTGGTTCCCACGACTCCCCTGTGGCCCTGGGGTCTAGTGTGGGAGGATGCTGAGTGAAGAGGGAGGAGGGCCCATACCTCTTTTATAAAGGCTGCTTTTGTAACATTCACTTTAGTTACATCTTCCTCCTGGTCAGAAACCTTCAGGAGCTCTCCTCTGCTGCATCTTACTCCTCCATCAGGCAGCAGACTCCTCCCTGGGTGGTCCATCAGGACCTGGTCCTACCAGGTCCCCACACTTCAGTCACATCCAATAGCCCGATATTGTCAGGATAGGCTGTGTTATGTTCCCAACTCATATCTTTACTTAAGTGGTTACCTCTTTCCAGAATGAGCCACCTCCTCCAGCCTCTGCCTGGTGAATATTCCTAACCTTTGCAGCTTCACCTCCCTCTTACTTCTTGTGACCTGAGGCATCTACTCCTGACAACTGATAGACTCTGTTCCCTCCTAACTCGAGGGAGTATTATCCTTGTCACCTCCCTACTGGCTTTTATCTGACTTTGTTTCCTGCTGTTGTTAACTCCTGTACCTGTCTTATCGATCCTAAACAGAAGGTGCTTCAGGCTGGGGAGCTTGTTCATGTTGAAATCCCTGTGATGGAGGTGAGCAGAGGCAGGCTCTGCCTGTGCCTGTTATTTGGGGATGGAGTTAAAGTCCCTGTGGGAATAATCCAGGCCACAGCCAGGGTTGCTGTCTTCAGAAAGAAGGGCAGCCACATGTCTTGTTAAGGGAATTGAAACTGGCTGACTTGGTGGAAGGAACCTGCCTGCTTTGTTTAAAAACCACATATAACCAGGTGTAGCGGTTCACACACTGTAATCTCAGTGCTTCGTGAGGCTGAGGCAGGAGAATCACTTGAGGCCAGGAGTTTGAGACCAGCCTGACCAACAAAGTGAGACCTCTATTTCTACAAAACATAAAAAATTAGCTGAGTGTGGTGGCGTGCATCTACAGTCCTAGCTACTAAAGAGGCTGAGGTGGGATGATTGCTTGAGCCCAGGAGTTTAAGGCTGCAGTGAGCTATGAGTGCATCACTGCATTCAAGCCTGAGTCACCAGCAAGACCTCGTCTCTAAAAACAAATATAAAAAAAATCACATAGATTGTGGGTGCAGCTTACTTGGAGACAAACTTTCATCAGAGAGCAGACCTGCTATCTTTGCCCAGGGTGTGAAGCTCAGCCGTGAGGGTCTCTGGACAGCAGTAACTCAGCCCCTGTCCCCTTCTTGGTTGTTGGCAGAGACAGTGAGATTTGCCAGGGGTTGTCTGAAGCTCTTCCCAGCCCCGAAACCTGCATGTGTAGATTTTGGACTGCACTGGGTCCCGGATGTGGTACTACTGCGTAGAAACTCCACTCGGCACTGTCTTAGGGGACAGGTGTCCCTCCTGTGGTCTCTTTGGCCTTGGCCTTCCCCTGGGTCCCTCCCTCAGTGACACTTTCCACCCCACATGCCTGCTCCCTTGGCTTAGGTCTCCACTTCTAACCTCAGCAGACTTGGTCCTCAGATACCTCCCAGTCAGTTTCCCGATTTTATCCCATAAACACTCAAAGGGTGAAATTCATGGTCTTTCCTGTCTTGGTCCCCACCTGGCTGCTGTCCTAGACTCTATTTTCTCTCCTGCGTCAGGTCCTGCCCCTGACCTCCTGACCCCTCCTGGACTCTGCCCTCATTTGCATCCATCCTGCTGCTGTCTTCAGCCCTCCTCACCCACTACAGTCTTCTCTGGGGGTCACTTTCCTTCCTGGTCAGTGGCCAGATTGACCTTTGTAAACTCGATCAGATCTTCTTTGTCATGATTGTCCTCGTGGTATTGTGTGTCTCCTTAACGTGGTGCCTGAGACCCTGGTCACCTCTGCCGCCTGGCCCACAGTGTGTGGCCCTCACTGGAATACTCTCTGTGCCTTCTGCCCTTCCCTCCTGGGAAAACCTGTCTCTATCAGATATGCTCTTCTCTAGAAAACATTCCTGATCCCTAGATTTGGTTTTGCCTTTGTGCTTCTGCACCTACCATCTAATACCTGGATTGTATCATTTGTCACATTAGATGATTTTTGTTGTTTTGTTTTAGACAAGGGTGTTTCTTACTCAACGTTTATATCCCTAGAGCCCAGCACGATCGTTGGTGCACAATAGACACGCCACAGATGTTTGCTAATTGAACGAATGATCAGATGTGAGTCACCTCAGGTCAGCCCCAGGCAAGGCCCCTGCCACCTCCATGGTGGCTCTCGGAGCCTCTTGCTTTATGGCAGTCATTTGATTGACAGGCATGTCTTGGAAGCTTGTTGGGCAGGACCTGTGTCTAAGTCTCCAGGCTGCCTCCAGCCACCCCGGTAGGCCTCTACTGCCTTCATCTCACAGGAAAGTGGAATGAGGTCCTTGTGCTCTTTTTTCCAGGTGCTTCCCGAGGCAGGGCTATGCTAACATTCATGGCCTCTGACAGCGAGGAAGAAGTGTGTGACGAGCGGACGTCCCTGATGTCGGCTGAGAGCCCCACGCCGCGTTCCTGCCAGGAGGGCAGGCAGGGCCAGGAGGCTGGAGAGAACACGGCCCAGTGGGTAGGCATCAGCAGCTGGGGGTCTCTGGGGCTCCTGTACCTTCACAGGTGCAAACCAGACATTCATTCCTCGATGCAAGAGGGAGAGGGAAGTAATGATGAGGAGTGGCCAAAAGGGTGGGTGGCTGGCCATGGTCGGCCTTCCATCTGCAGGGCTTTATAGGACTCTGCACATTCACAGCCAGTGGACTTGGCAGTGGGCTGAAGGATGCCGTCCACTCTGCCCACTTAGGCTTACCTTGCTTATGCAGGTCACTTGTTTCCACTGTAATAGGAGAGCTCATTTGGATGCCTGGGTGTTAGGACAGGTAACACAGAAGCTTAGGATGGTAGCAGGGGAAGCTGCTGGAGAGGAAGCCGTTTTCGGCAGGTGGCCAGACATGGTAAGTGTGAGGAGTCTGCCTGATGCACAGTTGACTTTTGAGCTGGGGATATTTAGGCTGCACTGTGATCATCCAGCCCTCAGGGGAGGAGAAAGAGTAGGATATCCTTGGGAGAGCCACTTAGTCATGCCCTTTCTCTCCCAATCAGGGTAAAACATCTGAATTTGCCTGAATCCTATTCTCTGTTTTGCCCATTATAGAATTAAAAAATGTTGGCTGGGCGTGGTGACTCACACTTGTAATCCCAGCACTCTGGGAGGCCAAGGTGGGTGGATCAAGAGGTCCAGAGATCAAGACCATCCTGGCTAACATGGTGAAACCCCGTCTCTACTAAAAATACAAAAAAAAAATTAGCCAGACATGGTGGTATGCACCTGTAGTCCCAGCTACTTGGGAGGCTGAGGCAGGAGAATCGCCTGAACCTGGGAGGTGGAGGTTGCGGTGAGCCGAGATTGTGCCACTGCACTCCAGCCTGGGTCACAGAGCGAGACTCCATCTCAAAAAAAAAAAAAAAAAAAAAAAAAAAAGAGGCCTCTGTGTGGACTGTTTTCTCACTTCTTCTGCATGTTCTCCTTGAGAACAGAACCATCGTCCCTGAGCTCTGAGTGAAATCGCACCAGCTCAAGGTCACTGCTCGGCCGCTCATCAGCCTTTTCTTGTTAGTTTGTTATCTCCGGGAAGTCTTGTACATTTTAGTTGTTTCAGTTTCTGTTCATGAATAGTCTTCCTTTCCTTTCTCAGCTGATGTCTAGATTGGGACTCTCTCTGCAAAGTCATGCCCTTTCTTTCCCGATCAGAGTAAAACAACTGAAGCAACTGCCATTTTCAGTTTTTGTTTCATTTGCCTTTTTCTTTAGCTGTTGATCTCATTAGCAAGGCAGCCCATGACCCTGACTTGCCGCAGTTCCAAACACAAATTCTCCCAGATGGGATGTGCCAGTGTCTGGCAGGTGTCCTGCCTTCCTTTGCTCCCTCCTCATTTGTGCCCGACCACCTTCTCAGAGCGTACGCCTTCCCAGATGCTTAACGCCATTCAGCCTCTAGTTCAGAGCTGCAAATTTACATGCTTGATTGTGCGGGGCAGAAAGTTCAAGGTAAATTCTTCCTCTACAAATTCCCAGTATCTTAGTCACACTCGGAGAGTGTCCCTGTGCACTGACTCCTCTAGCTAGTGATTGGTTAACCAGAAATGGTTAGTGTCTGTTTTCCTTCTGTCCCCTGGCCTGTCTCCTCCCACATCGGCATGGCCACGTAAATGGAATTGAGTGACATCCTGAGTCCCTATATTAGGAAGGGGGAAGTTCTTTTGATGTGTTCCAAATTCATTATCCATTAAGTCTTGGGCCTGCAGACCATGGCAGCCTCCCTTCCTTCATTTATGATGCTTCATCCAGCTCTAAATTTTCTCTACTCTTGTCCTCATAAACTTTTCACATGCCCTAGAAATTCCAACACGCCCACATCTAAGCTCCAGCTGCTCCTTGTATCTGGAAAGCAACATTCAAACTTCTCATTTCCGGTTCCAAAAATCCATGCACTACATGGATAGTCTCCTGTGGGGGACATTCCTCGGCCCTCACGATGTGGTTTCCCGCAGAGAAGCCAGGAGAACGAGGAGGACGGTGAGGAGGACCCTGACCGCTACGTCTGTAGTGGAGTTCCTGGGCGGCCATCAGGCCTGGAGGAAGAGCTGACTCTCAAGTATGGGGCGAAGCACGTGATCATGCTCTTTGTGCCTGTCACTCTGTGCATGATCGTGGTGGTAGCCACCATCAAGTCTGTGCGCTTCTACACAGAGAAGAATGGACAGCTGTGAGTTAGGGGCCGGAGGGGCACATGGCGGGCTGAGGGCTGAGTTGTTGGGGGGCAGCAACCTGTGTTGGTCACTGCACCTGTAGCTCCACACCAGCAGTGGTAAAGAGCAGGGAGGGAGAGCTGCCCAGGTTCATGGCCTGACTCACCACCTCCTGGATTGTGACCTACTTGGGCATGCTCTTAATGTCCCTATGCCTGTGTAATGGGTTAATAACGGGGTTACTGGGAGAATTAAGTGAGTTAATACAAGTGAAGGGCTTAGAAGAGTGTGTGCTGCAGATGAGTGCTCAGGCAGGCTGGATCCTGCTGCAAAGCACTGGGCTCCGTGTTCCTAGTCCCAGACCCTGGGCATGGCCGTGCCACTGTCCTGTGTGACCACAAACAAATCACTTCCTCTCTGGGTCTCTGCTTCCCTGAATATGAAACAAGGTGGTTTGACCAGATGATATCTCAGCTCACTTCCTGCCTTGTGAGGAAGACTCGTAAAGTCTTTGGTTTATTTTAGTAAAATACATGCAGAGGCAGCAGCACAGACAAATGAGAAGCTTCCCCACGTCTTCCCCTCCCCTCCCTGTGGTCATCACTGCTAAGCACCTTCTCTAAACTTTTAAGTTAGAGACTTTTTGTTTCATTTTTTGTGTGTTGGTTTGGTTTTTTGTTTCTTTTAAAGAAAGGAATAAGGCCAGGTGTGGTGTCTCATGCCTGGAATCCCAGCACTTCGAGAGGCTGAGGCAAGAGGTTCACTTGAGCCCAGGAGTTTGAGACCAGCCTGGGAAATGTGGCGAGACAGAAATTACAAAAATTAGCCAGGTGTGGTGGTACGCACCTGTAGTCTCAGCTACTTGGGAGGCTGAGGTGGGAGGAACACCTGAGCCCAGCAGTTGAGGCTGCAGTGAGCCATGATTGCATCAGTGCACTCCACCCTCAACAACAGAGACCCTGTCTCAACTTTCTTTTTAAATTAAAAAAGACATAGAGAAGGAGGGCTCCATCCTTAGGAAGCTTATAGTCTGTGGGGGATTCAGCGCAGCACAGGTGAAAGCATGGAGAGAATGCAGCCAGCATTTTGTTTGTAGCAGTCCAGGCTGGGGAGAGTGAGGTTTGAGTGAATTGCTTCCTGGCTCTGCTTCCTGAGCTTATAAGCTGCAAGGGCAGCCGTTGGCTCCTGCTGGTGGGGGGTGGGGTAGCAGCAGGTGGAGGAGTGCTAGGCTGGATGGGGCTGGTGGAGAGGTGTGAGATGGGGAATGAGAAGTGAGATGGGTGAGACAAGCGCCTAGGGAGCCATTAATCTGTGTAGGGGTGGGGAGGGCAGTGGCGAGGTCATCTAGCCCTCGTCCCCACTGCTGCACTGGGCCCAGTCAGCAGGCTGAGAGCCACAGGGCTGTGGTCAGGATGCCAGGGAATGAGCTGGAGGACAGAAACTGCTCATAGGGGTGGTGCCCGTGCTCTGTCAGGGCAGCACATGGGTGGCATGGGCATCCCAGGCACCTCCCCTAGCAGGTCCAGAATCGCTCAAGGTGGGGAGCCTCGCGGAGCAGGCAGGGCTGGGAGCGTCAGCCCCTTGCCTTCTCCCTCAGCATCTACACGCCGTTCACTGAGGACACGCCCTCGGTGAGCCAGCGCCTCCTCAACTCCGTGCTCAACACCCTCATCATGATCAGTGTCATCGTGGTTATGACCATCTTCTTGGTGGTGCTCTACAAGTACCGCTGTTACAAGGTGAGGCCCTGACCCTGCCCTCCACCCACTCCTCTCCCTCCCCATCTGCCCCACACCGCGGCAGTGAGGCCTATGAAACAGCCATCTTTAAAAAACACAGACCAGAGCAAAATAGACCCTGATTTTTTGTACTCCTTCCCGCACCATCCTGTCTCCCACCATGGATGACCTAATAGTTGTCTTTTATTTTTATTTATTTTCTTTTCTAAAAAACATGGTCTCTCTCTCTGTTGCCCTGGCTGGAGTGCAGTGGGACGATGATGGCTCACTGCAGCTTCAACCTCTTGGGCTCAAGAAGTTCTCCTGCCTAGCCTCTCAAATAGCTAGGACTGCAGGTGTACACCACCACACCTGGCTAATTTTTAAATTTTGTCTGTAGAGGCTAGATCTCACAGTATTGCCTAGGATGGTCTCACTACTGGACTGAAGCCGTCTTCCCACCTCAGCCTCCCAGAGTTCTGAGATTATACATGTGAGGCATTGCACCCAGCCTGTTGTCTTTTAAATTTACACACGATCCCACTTGAGTTCCTCACTGCAGTGTTACAAGCATCATTTCTCATAGTCAGAAGTTAATTTTGTTTTGCTTCTCTTTCTGAAGTTCTATTTTAGGCTCCCCTCACCCTGATACTTCCCCTGAAGATTTATTTTTATTTTCCCTTTTCCTTTTCGGGCAAGGATGTGCAGATGCCATGCTGAGGTCTTCCAGCTCTGGGAGACATTTGAGTTGTACCTGCCTATATAGCTGCCAAGTAGCCCCAGGGAGTAGTAGAAGGACAGATCCCATCTGGTGAGAATCATGGCCACTGCTTGTCCCCAGAGATGCATAAGCTTTTAGACAGCAACTTTAGGCTTTTCCCCCAGGGAAGGAGTTGAACCCCTAAAGATGGAAAGGAAGTTAAGCCGGGCATTACCTATCTTAAAACTCTTTATACACAGGTACCTCACAACATTTTTTTTCAGGCAGCTGCCATCTGTGGAGCAATTAGATAGAGGTGCAGAGTGCCCAGGCTAGAGGGATGGAACAGGGACAGTGCAGGGAGGGAGCTAAGCCCCATTCCAGCTGGGGTGGCAGTGGGGGAGAGTCATGGGAGGGCCTGTAGCGTATGTCCTGAGCTGAAGCTTATCATTAAGTAACAAGTACCAGCTGGGCATGGTGGGCATGACCACGTCTGTGGTCCTAACTACTTAGGAGACTGAGACTCTCTCTCTTAAAAAATAATAATAAAATAAGTAACAATCATCTATGTGACTGTGATGAGGCAGGGCTTGAACATTGCCGCTGGGAGGTTGGCAGATGGGAAGCAGGTTGGAATGCTGCTGGTTTGGAGCAGAGGATACAGCTTGCATGGAGTCAAGCTAGATATTTCAGAGCGGATATGAAGAGCCGGCAACACTGCAAGCAGTAGGTGTCTGGTGGCCTGTCCCGGGAGCTGTGAAGAGGGGCTCCAGTGGGCTTCCCTGGAGATTCTGCAACACAGGCAGATGATGGTGGCCCAGGAAGCCGGGTGGCAGCTGGGATGAAGTGGATTGGCACATCCCAGAGGCAGCCCTTTCCCCTTTTGGCTGTGTGTGCGGCATGGCCATGGTGGCCGCTTTCACTCCAGGTAGACCAGGGCCCCGCTGAGGTCCTGGTGGGCTGAGCTGGTGACTGATGAGTTGATCCTCAGGGGTGAGGCTGGTGGGAAGTGATGTCACTGTCCCACCAACGGCCAGCTAAGGGACTGGGTTAGGATCAGTCCCCTCTTGTCCTTCACCCTCCCATGCTTGGCCAGGAGAAGAGGAACAGGTCTTTCTGAGGACCTGTCTGTAGACCCTTGGGTGGGAAGGGACTTCCAGGTTCTCTGTTGAGGCCACCCTGTTGAATCTCCTGTCACTGTATCCTGCTAGCATGTTTTTCTCCATGGCCCTCATCATTACCTGCTGAAAGACTGTAGATTTGTCTGTATGTCATCTAGCTCCCTCCCCTCACACTGGAACACAACACTTGCGGGCAGAGACTCTCCTAGCCTTGGCTCCAGAGCCTAGAACAGTGCCTGGCAAGTAGGAGATACCCTGCATTACCTTTCTAAATGGACAAGTAGAGAGGTGGGGAGACCGCAAGGCTTTGCCAGCAGACCTGAGGGAGTCTTGTCTGCATGCACTGCAGGGCGACCTGAGGGGAACTCCGTGGATTTCTGTGCGCTCTTTATCTGTAAGGTGGCCACCTGATCCCTTCCAGCGTAGACATGAAGTAGCCTAACAAAGAACATCATTCAGGCTTGGGTATCGGTCCCAGCATCCTGGGGCCTTAGGATTTGTGGCACTTGGGGACATTTTGTGATTGTCCCATTTCTGTTGTCTAGTTCATCCATGGCTGGTTGATCATGTCTTCCCTGATGCTGCTGTTCCTCTTCACCTATATCTACCTTGGGTAAGTGTCAGGTGAGCAGCAGGGTCCCTGGGAGCCCCTCCCCCTGCGGCACCAGTGGACATGGGCAAGGGGACCTGGGCAGGAAAAGGTGACGGGTGAGCTCCAGTGCTCCCCAGTGCCAGCCATTCCAGGAATGCAGGCCTCTAGGGCCCTCTGTTGGCACAGGGGAGTCGGAATGAGGCTGCATGGTGACCACACATTTCTGTCTTGTTCCTGATTAAAATGGAGCCTTCATAGAGAAAATTTACATTCTAATGTTTAGGCTAGGCCTGGGTGCTTCCTGGTTTATGCGAAAAAGTATCTGTTCTGTTGCCCCTTGACTTGGGATATCAGCCTGACCCAGGGGCAAAAGAGACTGGAGTGACAAGAGAAAACACTTTCTCAAGGACCTTTCCATGCATGCAGGGTCTTCCAGGTCATGCCCATGCACATTTCTGTGGCCCATTCTGAGCATCCCCACCTTGTTCTAGAAAATGTCTCAAGTGGTCATTTGTAAGGACAGTGACGGTTGGGGAAGGAAATGTTAGTAAAGAGGGCCAGGTTGGGACTGGATGGTGGTAAACTGCTAGGCTGCAACGTCTCCAATGAGTCACACCCACAGGCTCTACCTTGGTCTTGCAGGGAAGTGCTTAAGACCTACAACGTGGCCATGGACTACCCCACGCTCTTGCTGACCGTCTGGAACTTTGGGGCGGTGGGCATGGTGTGCATCCACTGGAAGGGGCCGCTGGTGCTGCAGCAGGCCTACCTCATCATGATCAGCGCACTCATGGCCTTGGTGTTCATCAAGTACCTCCCAGAGTGGTCTGCGTGGGTCATCCTGGGCGCTATCTCTGTGTATGGTAGGTGGGCAGCAAGCCTGGCAGGGGCAGTGGGGCTGGTGTCCTGGGCCAAGTCATCCTCAGCACTGCACAAGGAGGACAAGGTGCTGATGGGCTGCGTCCCTTCCTGCAGAGGCCTGGGTGGTCTCCCTCCTGAGGGAGTCACCTTTGTAAGACATAGCAGGATCCACTATTTCTGGAACACTCCTGGTAGTCACTGAGCTCGTCATTTTCTTTTTTTTTTTTTCTCACAGTGGAGATGGAGTCTCACACTGTCGCCCAGGCTGAAGTGCAGTGGCGTGATCTCAGCTGACTGCATCCTCCATCTCCGGGGTTCAAGTGATTCTCCTGCCTCAGCCTCCCGAGTAGCTGGGACTATAGGGGTGCGCCACCGCATCCAGCTAATTTTTGTATTTTTAGTAGAGATCGGGTTTCACCATGTTGGCCAGGCTGGTCTCAAACTCCTGACCTCGTGATATGCCCCCCTTGGCCTCCCAAAGGGCTGGGATGACAGGCATGAGCTGCCGCCCCCAGCCCTCGTTTTCCGTTATTACTGACGTGCTGATTGAGCATGTGCACCGCTAAGCACTGGACGTGCTGTAGGTGCTGTGTTTGGGCACAGTGCCTGTACATAACCCCAAAAGCTAGCGGCTCTTTGATATTAGCATGATTATCATTGCTGATATTGTTACTTCCATTTTAACGTTAAGGAATTTGAGGTTCGTGGAAGTGGGACTCCTCAGCGTGGCCGCTGTGTCTTGGGTGCACAGCTCCTCCGCGCTTGCAGTTGGTTGTGAGGTCCCACTCTGGCTCCCCCAGTGTCTCCTCTAAGTTGTGACTAGAGAGTGAGAGTTTGGGGTGGCAGCCCAGCAGCAAGGCATGCTCTGAGAGCTCCACCCAGGGCTGCTGTGCTATAGGGCTGGCTGTTCTTTGGGGGCGGCTGCCTGGGGATAACTTGACAAGGATGTCTCTGTGTTCCTAGATCTTGTGGCTGTGCTGTGTCCCAAAGGGCCTCTGAGAATGCTGGTAGAAACTGCGCAGGAGAGAAACGAGCCCATATTCCCTGCCCTGATATACTCATGTGAGTGGGCCCCCTGTGCTTCTGCCTGACTCAAGGTCAGCAGGCAGCCTATGGGGGGACAAGGGGCTGCTTCCTGGCCGTGGCTTTCAGAGTTGACTATATAACACCCTTTCCCTGAGCGAAGAGGAGTTGGCCCTGGTGATCCCAGAAGAGTCTCCACTTTCAGAAACCAGGGAAGGCAGTATCTTGCTATTATACAGTAAGGAGCTTAGAGAGTTAGGACACAAAGCGGGCATCTGCTGGGATGCGACGCAGCCCCCGGCTTCATCCCATCCGCCCTCCAGCGTCATGCTGTGGTGCAGGTCACGTTCCTGTGAGCCCGCAGCCACCCTTCAACTCTCCAGGCTCTTGAGAAGGAACTTTGGAGTGGGATTCCTCAGGGCAGGGGGTCGGGGAGCAAGGAGCTCCTGGGCTTCCTTGACAGCAGTGTGCTTGATTGGCATTAATCCTAACTGAAGGGAAGGCACACGGGATGGCCTCTGGCCTTGGGGTCAGTGTGTAAAGATTTGGATTTACACATGCACTCATCAGAGGCACATCAAGTCCCCACTTTGTGGCAGTCACTGTGCTAGGCATTGGGGGACCCAGCAGGAAAGAAGACCACAGGATCCCAGGCCTCATGGAGCTCACAGGCCTGTGGTCATGATGCCCTTGGTCTGTTGATGGCGGCTGAAGTAGAGAGTCTGAATTGCCGGGGCTCTGGTGTCTGCAGGGTGGCCTGGGAAACATTTTATGGAACAGCTACAGAGTGCTAGATATCTCCATGCAGTTGAGGAATCCAGCCTGTAGAGGAGAATCGCCCGCAGCGTGGCCCCACGGGAAAGCACATTCCAGGCACATTCTGAGGATGAGCAGAGACCATGTATGGAAAGGCAGTGCCAGGACAGTCGTGAGTGTCCCAAGGCTCTGGGGATTCACCCATCCATCAACAGTGAGGTCCTGGCTCTGATAGACCTGGTTCTTCTCACACTGCAGGAGGGGAGACAGACAGTGACAGACAAATGCCAGAGTCAAGATGGAGTGACTCTGACCCCTCCCACAACAGTCTCCTAACAGTGGAGCATGAGCAGATAGCTGCAGGATGGCGGGATGGAGAGTCCTATGCAGGCTTTCTGGGGCTCAGACTGGCCACCTCCCCCAGGCCCTTCAGGCAGCCACGTTAGCACTGCCTGAGGCACGAACCTTTTTTCCTCCCCCAGCCGCCATGGTGTGGACAGTGGGCATGGCAAAGCTGGACCCCTCCTCTCAGGGCGCCCTCCAGCTCCCCTACGACCCGGAGATGGGTGAGTATTTGGGAGACTGACAGCCTCTCGTCACTTGGGGGCAGCTTCCTACCTGCACCCAGCTCTGCCCAGCCTGGCCTCTCTGGGAGGCAGAGGGAAGGGTCCTTTGAAAACCAGCTCTCCGGGACACACGCGGTGTGGAGATTCAGCAACTGCTGGACCCTCGGTCCTCTGCCAGCCTCTGTTGCTTCCTTCTGGGCATGGCTGGGTGGGGAAGCCCTGACGTCAGGCGCTGGTGCTCTGGGGGACCCCTTCCTGGAGCTCTGTTCCCAGGGAATGCTCTCTGACCAGCTCTTGCCTCTCTCCCTTGTCCCCTCCTCATGGCGATCATGTCATCTTTTCCTGGACACCCAGAAGACGACTCCTATGACAGTTTTGGCGAGCCTTCGTACCCTGAAGTCTTTGAGCCTCCCCTGACTGGGTACCCAGGGGAGGAGCTGGAGGAAGAGGAGGAAAGTAAGGTGCCCGTGTTCACACGGCCTGCTTCAGCCCAGGGTGGGAGTGGAGGCAGAGGGTAGAGGAGGGCATTGGGGGGGGTGCTTTTCCCATCAGAGGCATCTCTGTGAAAGTAGGAGATGCCTGCAGCGCTGGGGTCTTTCCATGTAGTTGTCTGGCATGTACTGAATATGGGCCATGTGTCTGCACTGTGCTGGGTGAGGCCCGGCCCTGGTAGGACCTCCAGGCTAAGGAGTCACAGGCACTAATCACACGGACTCCAGAAGCCAAGGACGGTGAAGGGGGCCATGGAGGGCAAGAGAATATGCCATGGAGCTTCTTGACCTGGTTGGCAGGGGTCATAGAAAGTCACCTGAGGAGGTAACTGCTGAGCTGAGCTCTGAAAGTTGAGTCAAAGCAGTCACTAGAGGAGAGGAGCATGGGGTGGGGAGCATTTCTGGACAGGCAAACTCGGGAGTCAGAGGAAACCAGGGCGGGATACAGAGAGCAGACGTGGGAGAGCCTTCCAGACAGGCCGGGAGACATGCCGAGATAGGGGTTCATCTTGGCGTCAGTACACGATGCCCACCCAGTACCCAATGCCAGCCCACCGCAGTATGCCAGGCAGCACCCTGGAGCAGAGAGACACTGCAGTGTAATAACAGCCCCTGGCTTGAGAGGTGCCTTACAGGAGTAGCCTGGTGGCAGTGGCCTGGCATACAGGACTCCAGTGACACAGGAGGGGCAAGCTGGAGAATGATCATTCTGCTGTAGGCCTGGAAAGAGGATCAAGGTTCGCACCTTGCAGGCAAGCTTGGGGGAGGTGTTTATTCCAAGGCCCACTGGTGTGCTGCAGACCAGGAGTTAGCACAGACCCCATGGGACCCACAGGACTGGCTTCCCTCCAGACAGCAGCCACAAGCTCTAGGGGTTCTAGAGGCTACTTGTACTTCTGACTGGCTGCAAATGTACGGCTCCCATGACCCCTCTGAGTCAATAACTTGCTGGAATGTCTCATGAAAGCACTGCACTTAAAATCACAGTTGTTGTTGTTTTGTTTTGGAGACAGGGTCTCACTGTGTCGTCCAGGCTGGAGTACAGTGGTGTGATCGTGGCTCACTACAACCTTGACTTGCTGGAGTCAAGTGCTCCTCCCACCTCGGCCTCCTGAGTAGCTGGGATTACAGGCACATGCTACCATACCTAATTCATTTTTATATTTTTAGTAGAGACAAGGTTTTGACTTGTTGCCCAGGCTGATCTTGAACTCTTGGGCTCAAGCGATCCACCTGCCTTGGCCTCCCAAAGTACTGGGATTATAGGTCTGAGCCACAGCACTTGGTGAAAATTACTTTTATTATAATAGATGCAACTCAGGACCAAATGAAGAGACACAGAGCAAGTGAGAGGGCCCCACACCTGTTTCCTGTGTCCTCTCCTGGGAAGCAGGGCACGTCACCCCTGCTGTTGTCCAGGGGAGAGAGAAACAAGGCAACACTGTGGCTGAGACGGGGACGGCCATCAGGACTAGGCCAAGGCTGCTGTGTAGGGGTCCATGGGGAAGGTGGTGTGGCTTGTCAAGACTCAGAAGAGCATCTGTGTGGGAGAGGGGTAGGGGTTGCAGGACATCCTACAAGCAGGCACTGGAGCCAGGGAAGAGCTCAGGGTTTGACACTGGGAGTTGGAGCCATTAGCATGAATATATTGTCAAAATCAGGCCCGAGAATAGTAGTCAGGGACGGTGCAGGGTCAGGGTTGGTGACATTTACAGAGGAAGGGAAGGTGTGGTGGAGGGCTCTGGGAGTAGTCAGAAGCAGATGGGTGCTCTGGGTGGCATGAGGACTGCATGTGTCCCCTGGGGGCCAGAGAGCATTGGTCAGGACATGGGACCTGGTGCCTCTAGGTTCCCAAGGTGACCAGGCTTGAGTGCAGGGTTCTTTTCAGAGTCCTGATGGAAGAAGGAGGAGTGATAAGGAAGGGAAGCCAACGCACAACAGCAGGAGCAAGGGCCCAGTACAGGAAGAGCCATCTGTCTAGGACGGGCAACACTGGAACCTTTCTGTTAGGCTCTGAGAAGGAGCCGGCTAAAGGGGAGGAGTTGAGATCAGAGAGGAGGCGATGCTGATGGATGAGACTAGTTGGGGGAAGGATGGGCACTGGGGCCAGGGCAGAGGCAGGTGACTGCCAGGAGCGGGAGGGACACCTTTGGGGCTGGAAGGGTAGGGGAGGTGGGGCTCCATGGTTTGTGTTTATTGCATAACCATTTTTATTATCTACAGTGAGCAAAGTTATCCTACAAACCAGTGTCAGGGACCATTGTACTAAAGAAAACAAACTTGAGAGTATTTTGGAAGCTCTAATTTCCTGATCAGTCATGGGTAGGCTAATTCCCAGTTATGTTTACCTATTGCAAGGGGAAAGGGTCTTCAGAGGAGCTCCGTCTTGGTGTTATATGTGCTTTTGAATGTACTGAAATTAAATTCCCTAAAAATCTGTAATTCAGACTTCATACTGAATTGTACAGCAGTGCCGAGCCCCAAGCCATGCATTCCTATTTGTTCTCTCCTTCACTCACTAAGTGCCCAGCACCAGTTTTACCTGAGTTTCAGAACTGCCCGATTTTCTCTGCCCAGGTTGTAAGTCACCCAGTGCACAGGCGTCCCCTGCTTTCCCACTGGCCGCGGATTTGGGGAGGCAGCCGTCCTTGTCCCCAGCCCACGTGGCTGCTTTTAGAGGCCGGGTGGGCTGGGCTGGGCAGAGCGTCTGTGAGCGCCTCCTCAGCACGGGTCCACTGTCTCTCCTCGTGCAGGGGGCGTGAAGCTTGGCCTTGGGGACTTCATCTTCTACAGCGTGCTGGTGGGCAAGGCGGCAGCCACGGGCAGCGGAGACTGGAACACCACGCTGGCCTGCTTCGTGGCCATCCTCATTGTGAGTGGCTGGGGACACGCCCAACTGCCGCCTAGTGACGGGACCCCCGGGGTCCCCATTGTGGGGGTGGGGGGTGGGAATTTTTGTTTCTTCTTTTCTCTCTGAGAGACAAGAGCAGGGAGGGGCTGGAAGGGTCGGTTTGAGACTGAGGCTCACAGGAGGTGTGCTCGCCCTAGGTGGGCTCCATCCTGCAGGTCACAGTACAGGGCAGAGTGAGGAGAGCACTGGCCCTGGCGTGGTCGAGCACACAGCCTCCAGACCGAGGACCCAGCTGACAGCTTTGTGCAGTGTTGATACCCTTGAGGTGGTTGTGATGACATCAGGTTTACAGAAACGTGCTTAAGGGCCTTGCCCGTGGGCACAAAGCTAGTGAGGACCATGTTTTCCCCTCCCCCATGCCACCGAGACACCACAGGGTGCCCCATTACTGTGAACCACAGCAGTGAAATGTGGAGTTTCCTGTAGTCAGTGAATGTGGCCAGATACACATGATGGGGAGATGTCCTGCCGCGACTTCATCTCAGAGACTTCTCTGTCACGTTAGAGGAGGTGGAGTGTCTGAGCTGTGCGCTTGGCATTCTGCCCCTTGGTGAAAACCCTGGGCATGGCGTGGTGAAGGGTGATGCTTCAGTGTCCAGATTTTGTTTCTGCCCACAAGTGTATCAGGGATGGGATGATGGACCCAGCCGCCTCCACCACCACTCTGCCTGACCTGAGCCCTGCTGCCCCCAAAGGTAAAGCAGGCACCCTGGTTCCCTGTCCTTAACTGGACCACTGCCTGAGTCAGCCAGGTCAGGGGAGGATGGGCTTCCCCATGCCTGCTTCCCAGGGGTAGGTTGCATGGCATCTCTGATTCCCTTGGTGCCAGCTGCTGAGAACCTCAGTGGCATTTCAGTTGAACCTACCTAGCTGTCATATAAATACATGTTCTCTGAGGGCATCTTGCCATCCTGTGTGACAACTCCAGCCAGACAGGGGAGGCAGCATGGCCTGGGGGCACAGCACCACTCCAGAAGTCAGGAGGCCTGCCTTCTGGTTCACTCACTCATGGGTGGGAGTTCTGATGCGGATGAGAACTTCTGCCCTCAACACCTCAAAAGCTGTTGCAGGACCAGGGAAGATAATGGGGTGGGGTGTCTAACACCATTGTCCGACTGGTCCACGAACAAATCTCCTGCACCCAGGGACACTAGACCATGACTCCCAGCTCCCGTCCACACCGGGATCACCACCCTCACTCTCCCCTCCATGTCCCACAGGGCTTGTGTCTGACCCTCCTGCTGCTTGCTGTGTTCAAGAAGGCGCTGCCCGCGCTCCCCATCTCCATCACGTTTGGGCTCATCTTTTACTTCTCCACGGACAACCTGGTACGGCCGTTCATGGACACGCTGGCCTCCCATCAGCTGTACATCTGAGGGACACGGTGCACCACAGGCCGCAAGCTGCAGGGAATTTTCACTGGATGCAGTTGTATAGTTTTACACTCTAGTGCCATATATTTTTAAGACTTTTCTTTCCTTAAAATATTTTAAAAAGTATGTGTTTACTTGGTGAGGACAAAGCAGAACCAGCTGTTTGGCACCAGCTGTTTCATCCCCAGACTTTGGTTCCCCCTCTGGTTCTGCCTCACTTCACGGACAGGAGGCATAGCAGGTTTACCCAGATGAACTGAGAAGGTCAGGTCAGGGCGGGGAGAGGAGCATCCGGCATGCCCCCGAGGGCCAAGATTCGTGAAGATGTGCCTCTGTTCAGGACCAGGACCGTGTGCTTGGGAGTGGCCCCTGGCACCTGGGTGCTCTGGCTGGGGAAGAAAAGCCAGTTCCCTACGAGGAGTGTTCTCAGTGCTTTGTCCATGATGTCCTTGTTATTTTATTGCTTTTAGAAACTGAGTCCTGTTCTTGTTACGGCAGTCACACTGCTGGGAAGTGGCTTAATAGTAATACCAATAAATAGATGAGTCCTGTTGGAATGTTGGAGCTTGGTCCGTTGTAAATGTTGACCCCTCTCCCTGCATCTCGGGCACCCCTGGGATAACTGTGCTGAGAAGAAGGAGGCAGTTTGCTCCATTTGAAGCAGAGAGGCTTTTAATGATCTCACCTGTCTGCACACATTTCTTTAGGAAGTTTCCTAAGCAGAGGCGGTAGGAGAGCGGGGAAGTCTGCCGTCTGCCGGCCCTGGGCTGTAAGGCTGCAGGTGCCGAGCAGGGCCCTGGACTCAGTTGTGTACAGCGGCACAAACAATGCCCGGTGGTTGCCAAAATGTCCAGTGGTTCTTTCTGCAAGTGTTCACCCTCTGCAGAAGCCTGTGAGGGCCCAAGCTCAGAAACGCACTCTCCTTTCCTTCTCTGGCTGTGGCCCTGGGCACTGTGGCCAGAGAGTGGACAGGCTGGCCTTGCCTTCTCCGCACATCAATCATGAATTGCAAAGAGAACCTCAGAAGTGCCTCTTCCTGTACACAGTGGCTCACACCTGTAATCCCAATACTTTGGGAGGTTGAGGTGGAAGGATCAGTTGAGCCCAGGAGTTTGAGACCAGCCTGGGCAACGTAGTGAGACTTTGTAGAAAACAATTTTAAAAATCAGCCGAGAATGGTGACATGCGCCTGCAGTCACAGCTACTCTGGAGCCTGAGGTGGAAGGATCACCTGAGCCTGGGAGGCTGAAGCTGCAGTGAGCCGAGATCAGGCAGGTGTTAGGTAAGACAGACAGCTGAGAAGATGCAGGTATCCCCTGGAGTTCAAAGTGGTAGCCCCATCTCCCTGTTCCAGGAATAACATGAGTGTCATGACAATGCATCTTTATTAGAGGAACGAGAATTGCGTCTCTTGATGTTTGACAGGATCTTGCTTTCCCCTCCGGCTATTTGAGAAAGGGCAGAGCAAAACATGGTGCGCTAAGAAGGGAGGACGGAGGAGGCTGAACACGGGCAGGTGGAATCCCACTGATTAGTAGTGCAGGTCAGAGACCTTGGAGTGGGGACGTTGCAGTCATGGAAGCCACAGCAGGGAGCAGGTAAAGCAGAGAGGGATGGTCCCTGGCAGAGACCGCTCCCAAGAGGTTAAGGGGAAAGAAAAACTGAAAAGCCCAATCAGTTGGCAGTGATGGCAATGTTTATCTTCAGAAGAGCAGTTTTAGGGTGGGGTTTCCAAAGATGGGATTTTATGTATGTTTTGAGTCATTAAGCTTGATGAGCTCTTTCAAAGGCCTGGCCAGGGCATGCTGGGTGGAGACCACATTAGAGGTAAAGGCAGAAGTGGGGGACCCTTAAGTAGATAGCGAGAGAGGATGAAATGAAGGGGCCCAGTGATTGTTAGGGTGAAGTGTGAAGACTGAGAAAACAAGGACACGTGAGAAGACAAGGGAAGAGCATTGGAGAGAACAAAGACATTGAGGAGATGCAGCCTGGAGGTCACCAGAGAGCTGGGAGACGAGGGAGCCCAGAACACAAGTACAAAGAAGAAAAATGAGAAGACTTTTTTTAAAGAAAGCATTCAAACATGCCGAACAAGAGCAGAGTACTGGTGTTTAAAAACCTGTATCTCCCTCATGTCACCAACCAACTAATATCTTTCCATTTTTGTTGCAGATTTGTCTTTAGAAATAAAACCGACATTCTGAAGTCCCGTTCGTACGTGGCCCCAGTCCTGTTGCCTCTGCCCCCTGTCCTGATGTCAATTTCTGTCCTTCCTATCTAGGGTTGGGTTTGTTTTGTATGTTGGTATGTTTTCTTTACAGAAATTGTATCATACTTTACATATTTGATACTTTTTAAAAATATTGCAGTCTGGAGGCATGTATAAATGTAGTTCCAGTTCAGTTATTTATTTTTTGAGATTGGAGTCTCGCTCTGTCGCCCAGGCTGGAGTGCAATGGTGTGCCCTCAGCTCGCTGCAACCTCCATCTCCCGGGTTAAAGCAATTCTCCTGTCTCCTGAATAGCTGGGATTACAGGCGCCCACCACCACGCCTGGCTAATTTTTGTGTTTTTAGTAGAGGTAGGGTTTCACCATGTTGTCCAGGCTGATCTCAAACTCCTGATCTCAGGTGATCCACCTGCCTTGGCCTCCCAAAATGCTGGGATTACAAAAGTGAGCCACCACGCCCAGCCCAGTTCAGTTTAACTGTTGTATGGTGTTCCATGGTATGAGTTCTACTGTTTATATGCTGTTAATGGACATGTAGGGGTTTTGCAGTGTTTTTGTATTATAGCTGTGCTACAGTGAGCATCCTATCCCATTGTGTGGATTTGAGGAAGTATTGAAATTCCCCTAATTGACTGGACATTCCCATTTACCCTCTAAGCATGTGTCTGTTTATCCTCCTATCAGCAATCTGAGAGTTCCCCAACTCTACAATACTTGGATCATCAGACTTTTCATCTTGTCTGATTGGATGGGTGTCGTTTCCTTTAGGTTTTACAAGTATCTTTTCATATATGTATTGGCTGTACAAGGTTCCTTCTCTGTTACTTGTTCCTATACTCTGCCCATTTTTCACTTGGATTTTTTAAATCTTTTTTTATGGATATTTGGGCCTCTTAAATATATGTTCTGGAGGGATGCTAATCTTTGATCAATTACATGCATTGCAAATAATCTGGTACACTGTGGCTTGCTTGTCTTCCCTGCCTTTAGGAGTGTTTTGCTGACTGAAGTAATTTTTAACTGTTAATGTTAAATGTGTCAGTCTTTTGCCTTTATGGCTTATGCCAGGCATCCCCAAACTACGACCCACGGGCCGCATGCAGCCCCCGAGGCCATTTATCCGGCCCCTCGCTGCACTTCATGAAGGGGCACCTCTTTCATTGGTGGTCAGTGAGAGGAGCACAGTATGTGGCGGCCCTCCAATGGTCTGAGGGACAGTGAACTGGCCCCATGTGAAAAAAGTCTGGGGACTCCTGGCTTATGCCTTTGAATCTTGTTTAAGAGATCCTTCCCTACCCTCAGGGTTTTCTAAATGTTTATATTCGTAATAAGATTTTTAGTCATTTGAAATGTATGTTTATGATTGTTATTTAGTAGGGACCTAATTTTGTTTTTCTGTGTTTGTAACCAGTTGTCCCAGCACTGTTTACTGAACAGTCTCTCCTTTCTCACTGGTCTGTAGAACTCTTCTGACATATACCAAGTTTCTGTAAGTGGGTGGATGGGTTCCTGAGCTATCTACTGTTAATAGAGCTTGCTCTCTCCCAGGCCCGTGCTTCACCAGGTGATTGAAGTAGAGAAACTTAGGTGGTGAAAAGAGAAGATGGGACCTCTCCTGAGAGTTTCTGTTCCTGAGATTCTAGAGACAGAGGGTATGTAAATCTGAAGTTACACCAAATCTCTTAAAATAGCATAAAGCTGTAGAAGTATAATAGTGTGAAGGCCGGGCGCGCTGGCTCAAGCCTGTAATCCCAGCACTTTGGGAGGCCGAGGCGGGTGGATCACAAGGTCAAGAGATCGAGATCATCCTGCCCAACATGGTGAAACCCCGTCTCTACTAAAAATACAAAAAAATTAGCTGGGCGTGGTGGTGCGCGCCTGTAATCCCAGCTACTCAGGAGGCTGAGGCAGGAGAATTGCCTGAACCCAGGAGGCGGAGGTTGTGGTGAGCCGAGATCGCGCCATTGCACTCCAGCCTGGGTAACAGGAGCGAAACTCCGTCTCAAAAAAAAAAAAAAAAAAACACGTCTCAAAGTTTCACGCAGCACTTCTGCCTATGTTCAACTGGCCATTAGTCCTATGGCCATACCTGTCTGAGGCTGAGATACTGGGAAATGTCTTTATTTCCAGTGACCACACATCTACCTAAACAGGATAAGGAACACATAGTTACAGTGTGTCTTTTGGTTCACCAACATAGATGATGAAGTTACCAAAACAATGAGAACCACAAGCTGATGTCTTCAAAGACGGTGGAAATGGTCCCTGGGAGGCAGCTAGATGACAGCAGTGGGGATTAAGGTAGACCTTCGTTCTGGGGTTAAAATGAAGGGAGGGTGTTGGAGCTGTACCAACACTCAGAGGTCAGTATTTAGGAGACCCTGCGGCCCCCACCGCTGCCACCATCAGCTCTATACAGAATGCCTGCCAGTGGCGTGGAGTGGCCAAGGACGAGGGGCTGATGCATATGCCTCCACTGCCCCTGCTGTGGACGTTTTTCATGCCTGACAGCACAGTCTATGTGGATTGCAAGCTGATCAAACTATCCACAGTAGAAGCATGCCTGCGGTTTGTGATTCAGTGATGTGTTCTATGCTTATGTGGGTTGAATGGGGAGGCAGCGTCCTGGGGTCACCCACTGAGAAGGAGGGGCCCTGTAATCACCACCTTTCTTTCTTTTTTTTTTTTTTTTTTTTGAGACGGAGTTTCTCTCTTGTTACCCAGGCTGGAGTGCAATGGCACGATCTCGGCTCACCGCAACCTTTGCCTCCTGGGTTCAAGCAATTCTCCTGCCTCAGCCTCCTGAGTAGCTGGGATTACAGGCACGTGCCACCATGCCCAGCTAATTTTTTGTACTTTTAGTAGAGACAGGGTTTCACCATGTTGACCAGGATGGTCTTGATCTCTTGACCTCGTGATCCACCCGCCTTGGCCTCCCAAAGTGCTGGGATTACAGGCTTGAGCCACCACGCCCGGCAATCACCACCTTTCTTTCAGCTACTTGGGAAAGGTGATGTGAGGGACAGTGGATTTCTGGACAGCTTTGAACGGTGGTAGGGAGGAAGAGTCTGTTCCGAGTGAATGGCGAGAGGCTGTGGAGAAGCTTTGAGGACACTGGCCAGGAGCTCCCTGGAGGCAGGCGGGAGATACTTGTCAGTACATGTGACTAGTTGCCAGATGAATATAAACAGAAGTGCCGTGTTGCTGTGTGCAACATTGGACACCTTAGGAAGGATCTCAAGGCAGTGGTTGTGGGCTCTAGAGAGTAACAGTGACAGTAGCAAAGCTTTACACAGTGCCAACTTTGTGCTAGGCTCGCACTAAATGAGTTCA